TTTGAAGGAATTGTCATCAGTTCTAAGATAAATACTAAGAAAAGTTAATTATACCACTGGGTATCCATACAACGGGTTTTTCTCGACTTATCTATAGATCAAATATTGTACATGAAAATAGGTGACGCATTTTGCCGCCGTTGTCGAGTTGGTTACTCATGAAATATGGGCCAAAGTGATTCATAAAGAAAATTGAAACAAACCTATTTAATTATTTTGTAGAATATCTGAGGAAACTTCTAAGACATGAAACAAAAATTTGCGTTTTTTAACTTTGACAAAATTCGGTGTTGAATCCTTATATGCATGCATAGGCCTATAGGTTTAATACCACTGTATATCACCCAAATCTTGTTCATTTCCTTCCAATGATACCGTAAGGACATTCAATTTTAAATGCTTCCCCAAAAGCTGAAATTTACAGGGCATAGTAGGCTACTCACTCATTCATGAGAGGAAATAACTCAATTCAGCCTAATTTCTACCCTAATAAAGAGTGAGTATTTTTATTATTATTATTATTACCTTCATGTCATACGATAAAGCCAAATTCTAGTTTGGATATTTTTCACATTACAAGAACTGTCAACAATTATTCCTATTTTGAACATGAACATGGATAGTTAGTAAACAAGAATTAAGATAAATAAAAACCGATTATTTACCTGTGGAGAGAGAAATAAAACAGTAAATTCCAAGAAAAGGTTTATTTTTTTTAAATCAGAAGAAACTGAGTGAGTCTCCTACGCAGAAGAGTAATTATCTCCCTTTACTAGTATACAGTCTAACCACAATGCTTCAGATCACAGTTAATTCATCTCTTGTATACGGTTATTTAGCTACCCATCGTAAGTCACTCCGGACCTTCGAAACCGGTGGGTGTAATGGTCTGAACGAATTTTCAGAATTGACCTCATAAAAAATACATAAAAATCGAAACTAGAATTCCGATAAATTTGGTAATAACAAGAGATGAATATTTTTCTTCAACTAAATAGTTTTAGATGGGAAGAGGTCATCACTCGCCGCTCACAATCATAATTACAAGTACCGGTACATATCTCTTATTCATGACATGTGATGAAAAGTAGGACGTAAAACTCCATTCACACTTCATTTCATTTCATTTCTAATTCATGATAACTGTCAAAGTTTCTGTTCGTTTGAATTTACCTTTTTTTTAAAGAATGCATTGTTTATTGCTGCATACAAATATTCCCCAATTTTCATTCAATTAATTCATACTTTTTAATTTAAAACTGCACGAAGCCGTAGTAAACAGAAGTGAGAGTTTAGCAACTTAGCTAATTAGGAGTTACAGTGCCTGTACCAGCATTCCCAAAGTACAAATATGGGTTCAAATACGGAAAAGACTGACTACATGGGGATTGAAGGTGGCTATGCCACTGAGCGACTGGAAATTCAAGTTTTTAATTGAAAATTATGTTTTATGATAAAATTACAGTTTTATAATGATGTCGTATACGAACCACCGTATCTGAGAGAGTATATTGTGAATTATAGGAATGGCAAAATAAACAAATGAGTGATGTGGAGTAAATGGGTTAATACAAGCTTCTATCTTTCCAAATAGCAGGGAGGTAGATTCCTTGGTCTCGGTTCAGTTCTGGGTTTAATTTAAAGATTTCAATAGCTTCCCTGATCTCTCTGGTGTGCTTGTGGGGGATATTCATAGCGAGAATATTTGTTTGGTCCCATTCTATAATGTGGTTAGGGTGGTTTACTTTGTGCTCTGCAACGGCACTGCCTATGTCTTGGGTGTTTGTTTTGGTTTTGTGCCGAGCAATTCTAACACTAGCAGGATTTGATGAGTGGCCAAATGTACGTAGCTCCACAGTTGCAGTTAACTTTGTATATAACTCCGCTAGGCGGGAGGATATTTTACCATTGGCCTGGAGTAAAGTTTTTAATGGGGTGCATGTAGAGAAGTAGACTTGGGTATGAAGGTTCTTCTGTAGCATCCGCTTTATCTGGTAGCTCTGGTGTCCGATGAAGGGTATGCCAATCCTTGTTATAAGGGACTGTGTTGTAGCTGGTCTTTGAGTATTGGTATTACAGTTCAGTGTTTTCTAAATGATGTTGTCTGTGACTTCTTCTGGATATTGGTTGAAGGTCGTAAATACTTTCTTGATGTGTTCAATTTCTCTGGGTAGGTTTTGTGGATCGCAAATTTCACTGGCTCTTTTTGTTAAGGCTGCAATAGTTCAAGCTTTTGTTTGGTGGGGGTGGAATGATGTGGAGTGGAGGTATTGGTTAGTATGGGTTGGTTTGCGGTAGACGGTCGTGCTGTGGCTAGTTGGCGTTCTGGTGATGTTTATGTCTAGGAATGGTAATACTTGGTCTGCTTCTTTTTCTGTGGTAAATTTGATGCTGTTATGCTGTTAGTTAAGGTGGTCAAGGAGTTCATCTTCATCATCATTTTGTATCATACAAAGACGTCGTCAACTTTCCGGTACCAACATAGGGGTTTAATTTGTGTGGTGGATAGGGCTAAATTCTCAAATCTTGACATGAAGGCTTCGGTAAGGAGTGGTGATAGAGGAGAGCCCATGGGTAGGCCGTGTATCTGTAGGTACATTTTGGAGTCCCAAGTGAAGTAAGTGGTATTAACACATAGTTTAATTAATCGTATGATGCTGTCTGGTTTTAGTTTGGTATTATTCAAAGGTGTGGCTGAGGGCATCTATGGCTTCTTCTTTTGGTACATTTGTGAAAATCGTAGCTAATCATCTTGTCTATAGGTTGGTTATCCTTGATGAGGTTGCAAAATTCGGCAGAGTCTTTTATGAAGCAGTCCGCGAGTTTACCCATGGGTGAAAGGAGTTTGGATAGGTAAGATGAGACGTTGTAAAATACTGAACCCCTGGAGCATACAAGTAAACGGATTTTAGGTCGATTCTTGTGGATTTTAACTCTAGCTCTTTCATAAGGTATAGTGGGGTTGGTGTTATAGAAGGAGTTATATTGGAGGTAAGTGATTTCTTTATGTCCCGTAGGTCGGTTAATGCTGCCTTGAGGTCTGTTATGAGTCTTTTGGTAGGATTTCTCCGACAGTTAAGAACCTACCTATACAAATCATCAAAACCATCAAATCCAACCTGTCCAAGTTTTGTGAAAATCAGACAGAAACAGTAGTCTCGGTGTGATAGATCCTTGTGAAAATCCATGTCAAGACTATTTTTTTCAAGAGTAACCACTCAGGTTCTTGTCAACTTACTGGTCCTTGGTCAAACCTCACTGTCTATTCATATTTACAGAAAGGTTGACTAGAATCAAGTCTTAAAAATCATCAGTATTGTTTTTGCCATTTTAAAATACAGCCAAAAGCCATCATTTGTTTGAGGGAAAACCAATGAAGTCAAGATTCCAACACTCTAAAGAATGAAGTACAGTCCTCACAATGTTTGAAATTTGAGATCTTTCTAAATACTATTTTAAGGATTCCATTTAGTACCATTTGTTAGATTTGTAACATTTACATCAAGATTCCAAAACTGTAACTTGATGAGCTACAATCAGCCTAAAAAAGTGTGTAAGACCAACTTACCAAAAAATGGGTGGAGGATTCGCCCTACATCTTCATCTGTTCCTCTTCATCTGTTCTTCATCTGTTCTTCATCTGTTCCTCTTCATCTGTTGGCGCGCGCCGCTTCTTCTGTTCTTCATCTGTGAGTAGGAGGATCTGTAGGGTCATACAGGCCATGACCCCAGAACACTCCTATTGTGGCAGTGCTTTAGTGGGTAGGTAAATTACCAGACGATTCACCCTTTCTAACCTGAAATGGATTGAAACCAAAATAGTAACGAACCTTCACATCACAGATCTGTTGCCATAACAAGGAAACAACTAGCTGTCGCCAACACATCAGTGTTCTTCAGCCACGTTTCAACAAAATAATTTCAAAACTACTTTAGACTTTACAGAGTTCGCCTGCCTTTTTAAATTATTTTCCAAACACCGAAACTTGCTAGTACTTATCATTCTAGAATGTTCACAAAGAATATTGACTTACAATATCCACTTCATCCATTGTGTAAAATTCGAGTTGAAGATACGTTTCATTTTAAGCGTGTTTGTAAAACGGATATATTATATGTACATTTACATTACATTAGATTTTACTAATTCTGTTCATCGACTACTAAACAACTTTTAATTTCCATTTAAAAATATATAAATTACTAATTGTTATATAAACCCTGTCGTGTTAAATATCACTTCTACAAAATTTGTACTTTATCTTAAACAATTATCATACTGTTATCTATCACTTTATATCAGATGAATGCTTATTTTCGCAATTTTTTGTTAATTATATACATGTACTGGATTGATGTAATAACTAATGTGACTACGGTCCATACATCTGTTTATATAATAGTATAACTTTTTCGAGAACTAAATATTGATAATATTTAGATAAATCTTAAAGAAAATTATTTGAAACTTTATGAAATTATGCAAATTTATACTATGTAAGTAAATTTTGTGTTTTTCAGAAAAAAGAAGCACTTTGCTCAAAGACAGACGACGAAGAGAATCTTTCAACGATAACTTGTAATAAAATCATGAACTGTTGTTTTTATTGCATCCCGCCATTTTTAGGGTAAGTTGGACTTTTCCGATTAAAGGATCGAGAAAAATGTATTCAAGAATGGAATACCATCCAGTCTTAATTCAGAGTTCCATAAAAGTGTACTTTTCAAGGGATACCGAGTTGTCATAACCTGTTCTATATTGAAAACATGGAATAAGGTGATGTTTTACGTTTTTGCATCTGATAGGGCTAACAACATACAACAACATGTAGTGTGTAATGTAATTTTGTCAGGGAAGTAGTACATGTTTTCCATGTTCAACAGTCGACAGATCTTTTGGATGCACAACCTGTAGCAAACTAAGCCACCAAGCGTCCCTCGTCATGTTTTAACCATTTGACATTATGAATGATATGCCAAAACAGGCGTTAACAGAATTTCTAAAATATGATAATTTGAAACTTACACGAGGAGCTTCCATGCCACACCATAAGCACTTTATTCATATACATTGAAGCTCTATCTGTATACACCTAAAATTAGAAAAATTAAACAGAACCTCAAAAATCATGTCGTTTCTTGCTATGCGATATAAAATTACAATAACAAAATACTTTCACTGTTGAAATAGTGCTCAATATTTCAATGGAATAGCGATCACTCCTAAAAATAAATATTTAATACGTTATTTATTTTATCACAGAACACATACTGTACATTTTCACCCTAATCAATCTTGACAGTCCGTAATTAGATATTTTGTTGCAATCAACATCATGACCGCCTTGTTTCGTGAATAGTGCGCAGGTTTTTTTATCAAGTAATAGTCTGACACCTGTTGATTTCTACCTAGTTTTAATAGAGCCAATTCAGAAAACAATTAGGAAGTTTTCTCATTGCCATTTTCAAGGTGTTTTCATCTGAAACCAATCTAGAACTGATCCCCATACTTGGCATTTCATTGTCTATGTTTCAAGTTGCGAAACCCCCCAGCGTGAAAATTCCTCCGCATAAAAACGTAATTTCCCTGCTTATGCTAACTGATCCGGCTCATCTTGATTGAATAAAGGTGATTTGATTTGCTTATCTAACCCCTGATCCTTCAAGTCCTTATTCCCATCAATGATTTAAATTAATTCTCAACCAGATTCATTGGAAAATTGTGAAAGAGGTGATTCTGTACAGCTATACCATATGAGACACGACTTGTAATTGGCTTGCGAAAGTGGGATTTATTTCTACTAAATACAAGGTTATATATATGAACTAACCTCGCACACCTTTTCTAAATCAACTAGGTAGAAGTCAACAAATATCTGAATATTATAAAATGAGAATGACTTACCGCCATTTGTTCCAAGAGAGGCTGGGTGGACATGATATGGCAGCTTAGCAGAATACAACCTAGGTGGCCCTAGCAAGGTAGCCCACAGGCTGCCACAACTAAACTACACGCGAACCCAACCCGTAAACGCGAAAATTTTGCTCCTTCTGAGCTACCTCCAAAACCCTAGGTTGTACACCATATCTAACCAAGTTGTCCGTAGCTAAAGACGAGCTACTATACTTGAAACCCTGAAATATATGAAAAAACACCACAATAATACAACCATGAAATAAACTTTTTGTTTTACATGTGCAATAATTTGACCCATTAAAACTGATGTATGAACATAAATGACACTGGGACTGACCAGGATATAATTCATTATTGTTCTTTTCTGATGATCAAACTGACTTCAAACTATCTGTAATACATTTCAGAATCACAATCTAAAGGTTGGTTCAATCAAGTAAGCAAAATTGTACCAATGGAAGATTAAGTTGTTGTCACTATCGGATGTCTAGTAAAAAATCTCACATGTAGCAAGAATCAAATGACTTCATCATGATATTTGTTGCATCAAAGGTTATCAGACTACATTGAACATTCTTTTCAAGAAAGGATTACACGCGTACGGTTTATTTGTATAGTGCTCAATTTTATACCCCTACAATGTACATCTATGATATACTAACCTCCATGGGAATAATATCCCAACTATGGTGTATTAACTCAATAGCAAAAGCCACTATTGAGCACCCTGGCCTGAAACGAAAAGACAAAATCATCAAAATCTATATGTTATCGATGTGTTCATTTGACAGGTAGTGGCGAAGATGTGTAACATATTAATATTATGTTAAATAGTTACGCATCCTTTTTGGGGAATTATGATGTAGAGATGTTATGAAGTGGATTATTTGCGAATTACATTATTTTCTAACTAAAGGGTACATCATTCTGAAAATACCACAATATTATATTGAGCTGAAATTGTCATCGGCATATGTCTATCAGCAGTCAAAGGTCTATCAGTATCTGGGTCGCCTTATTTCTATTCATAATATTCCTCATTTTGAGACTTAGTTAAAAGCCAAGCTTTGCTTCATTTTTATCTCCAAAACAATTTGTAATGGATTTTTGCAATGAGTCTTACATTAATATATTTAATACAATAAATATTACTTTTTCAAATCGAGAGAAAGAGGGCATTTATTGAAATTTATCTAAATTTTCTGGAAATTTAAAAAAAGTCGACTTACCGGTTGCTATAAACAAAGCAGACTGACTGAGCGAGTAGTCACTAGTAACCAGTTACTAATTGTCTTGATTACTATTCAACAACATAGTCCGAAACGTGTGTTTTCTTTCTTGCTACAATGCTGAAATTTTGCACCAATATTCACATGGACTATCTGGACATGTCAGGAAAAACAGAACACAAATATCTGCCATAGAACAGAAAATAATTTTTTACATTTTTAATGCATATTGGCCATAGAGGCAAATATGGCCTATAGACAACTTTTACAAATACAAACTTTTGGCTCAAGTTTTGATCTTTTCCTACTAATTAGACCCCAAGGACTTAAAAAAACACAAGAAATCAAATCCAAATCTGTAATTTTTGAAACTAGGTATATGCAGTCTGCATATGGGTGCACAAGAAGTGCTCAAAGACAAATAAATTTTTTGCGTCAAAACTTACAAAGCTACAATGCTGAAATTTTGCACCAATATTCACATGGACTATCTGGACATGTCAGAAAAAACAGAACTCAAATATCTGCCATAGAACAGAAAATAATTTTTTACATTTTTAATGCATATTGGCCATAGAGGCACATATCGCTGGGTTAGAGCAAAAACCTCGTAAGTGACAAAATTCAATATTTGGGGCGTAGTCAATTTTTAAGGTTGAAATAATATTTCTTATCACCCTATTATCACAAAAGAGTGTTTTTTTAGTAAAACACCAAAATTTATAACTATGGAATTCATTGTATCTGCATTTTTCTTTAAATGCTTAGAGCATAAACATCGTATCTGATTTGTTTGGAGCAAAATCATAGTAACTGACATGTTGAGAGCAAAAACATTGTAAGTGATATCATTAATCTATAGAATAGTGACATGACAAAGTCATAACACTATGATGTCATATAGAATATGACATCATATGCATGTTGTCATGGTAATTTATATGATGTCATACATGGCATGACAGACAAAATGGCATCAAGAAGACCTAAACGATGTGCAAACTTGTCTGTTAAAGAAGTTGTAAAGCAGTCTTAGGTT